GTGATATTTAATACACAATTCGCAATATTTCCGTACATATCGGTAGCATTGTATACGATTTGTGTTTTACCAATTGGAAACACGTTATCTTCGGGTTTATGACTTTGTTCAATTCGTATTAGTAATTTGGAATTGTCATAAAATCCTGGCTCGTTCCAGCTGATATTAATTGCTCCAGTTTCACGATCAGTAAATATTACTGGAGGGTCTACACAATTTTCAACCATCGGTGGTTCCTTATCTTTAAGAATCAAAAATATTATTGCATAAATAAATTCATTTTTATTATAATACATAGATTCTTCAACTTACCGATTACTTTGACTTGAAATTTACATCTTGCTTTATTCCTACTCGCATCTTGAGCTACGTAAACGATATTACGAGTACCAATTTTCATTTTTCGTGGAAGAACAATGTGTGGTTTGCTCCAGACAACAACAGAGTCATTATCGTTATCGATAGCTTCTGGTATTGTCCAGTTAACATAAGCATAATTTTTACTCGGTAAATTTTCTATAGTTATAGAAGGAGGACAGGTAATAACTGGTGGAGTGTTATCTAAAAAATATAAATAAAATAATTCAATAAAAATCAACAATGAATTTATTAATAATACCAACCTACGCAACGATTGACGGTACGGCGTTGTGACCAAACACCTGCACGACCACCACAGGATCTAATTCGTGGTCCTTCTAACTTGTATCCTTTTTTGCACGAGATAGTACAATTCATAGTGAAGGATAATTTTTCACGACCAGTGCAATTCTTAGGAAAAATCATACCATTTGCTAATTGTTTTAAAGGTTCACATTTAATCGGTTTACAAGTTGTTTCCAGACCATCCCAATGTGAAAGGGGCAAACAATTTCTAACTTTACTTCCTCTCAATTGGTATCCAAGATCACATTTAAATTGGCATCGTGTATCAATGGGATAAGAAGTTAAATTTTCTTTCAACCGATCCTGATAAATGTCGTCATTTTGACAACGAACACGTCCATGTTGAGGTGCTTTTAGTGCTGGGCAAGTCTTTACTGTTAAATACTTTCTCTTTAGCATTAATTAGACATCCTTTTATTTAAAAAAATAAAAAATTAATTCATAGATATGATAATTATTAAACTTACCTGAACACTGTGCCTCATTGCCAGACCAAATCCCATTCTTTCCACAAAGTCGAATGCTATCACCAGTCAATTGAAATCCTATTTTACATCTTATACCACAAGCAGCGTTCACTACGTTGCTACAGGCATTTGCTTTCACCAAATATCCATTCTCTGGTACTTTAAATTTCGGACACGTTATAACTAAAAGAAAAAAGTATATACAAAATGTGAATACATATATATAAAAATATAATAATTTTCATTTGTTTTTGAGATAACATTTAATTCAATCAATTAAATCACATGTCCGCTGGATAGACATTAATTAAATCTCAACGATGGATGCGCGAGATAACAAACCCCGCGATTTCGTTACTGCAATTCGAAATTTAAAGGAAGAAATAAAGAAAACAAGAGCTATGCAAATGATGTGGTTTCAAACGTATGGTCCTTTGCTGGATGAATACGAGTATGAAAATGATTCTAATTAAGATCAATATATATGTAATTGTTATTTTTATCAGTAATTATTTGATAGAAACGTAAACAAAGAGATGGCAGAGTTGTACGAGAAACAACACGTTGCAGTTGCCGATGATTCATCTATCAAAGATGAAAGATCTTGTTTACCTACACCAGAAACGAGCAATCGTGAAGTACGTTCACTTGAAATCAATTGAAATATTTAATTTATATTACTTTCATATAAATTATATTTTTGTTAGTATGGTTGGCTAGCAACGAAGCCAGAATTTCAATTAGAAAAATACGGATCGTATACAATCGATAGGATGTATCCTATGAAAACTAAAACTCTGCTACAAGGAAATATACCAATGCTTGCACCTGGAAAAAGCTTGATTCAATAAATATTGAATTTTATCTATCCTTAGAAACTTTCTTTTACAAGATAAATATATACTGAATAATTTAACAATTACCTTCACATTTTCTCCCATCGGCAGTAAATCCAGAAGCACAAATACAATCCTTCACTGTAGTAGCAGGAACCTTTACAGTTATATGGTTAACATCTGGACAAGGTAGACAAATAGCCGTTGAATCTCCAGAAATATAGCCGGAAGCGTAAGTTCCATTTGGACATGCTATATATAATTAATAATTATAAGAAATATAATTCTTAACAATATTATAATAAAAATAACAAGCATATACTGACGTTGGCAAGAACCTTTAAAACCAGAGCCAAAGAATCCAACCGGGCAAATACAAGCGTAATGACCAGTTGTTACACCGCACGAACAAATTGCTATATCATCGCAACAATTACTTTCTCTAACTTTGTACATTTCATTGTTCATACATAAAATATCGCAATCGCTGTTAACTGCCATAGGCACATACTTTCCCGTTTTTAAATCTACAAAAACGATCATTATATATTATTGCAATTAATCACATTCCTGTAATAAGTAATACACTTTGATTCTCACCATGATGCAAAGCACGACGTGCCAATGCTTCGAATTCGGCAAAACTATCCAAAAAGTAACTGTGAGCGTATTCAGGATTGCTAGCGATATCATGAAGTTCCTTAATATTACCAGTACGTATTCCAAATGTAAATATCATGACACCAGCGTTCTTCAAATGATCGGCAATAGGACGTGGATCTCCACCGTTGCTGAAGCCATCGGTTATGAGAAATATTACTTTCTTAGCCTTTTTGCGACCTTTTTCAAGAATATCCTGTTATATAAATAATCTTATTAATATATATTTTTCTCCCAATAAATATCAATTATGTTTTAGATTACTAACAAGAGCTTCGAAAAGTGCACCACGCGTATATGTTCCACCACCGGTATAACTAATGTTATTAAGTTGTTTGTTAAGTAAATAACATTTGTGATTGTCCTTTCCAGTTGTAGATATTTGATCAACGTTACGATTAATATTTCTTTTTCCTCCAAAAGTGACAATTGCAACTCTTGTTGTCAAGGGTTCTACCGTAAATTCAGACAAAAGTTTCTTCACAAAATTAAGCTCACTACGGAAGTTGTGCAGTCCAATCGAACCAGATCCATCCACGAGGAATACGAGTTCTACCTGGGAAATGTGAAATGATCATTTGTACAATATCTTTAGAAACAAGATCAATTTGAATGATTTGTTTTTACCTCATTGGTTTCATTTCTCAAATTATCTATGTGGATCTTTAAAAGATGCGGCAACAAGTCCGCTTTTCGTCGAATCATTTTGCTATCATTTTTTAAATTATTATGCAGATATTGATTGTTATTATAATCTTCTTTGGCATAATTCCAAGTTGTTGTTGTTGTTGTTGTTAAATCAATTTCATCGGTGTTACGTATCTTGAAAGTATTATTTGATCGTAATTTGCTTACTTTGGAATACTTTGCAAAGATACAAGAAATTCCATTGATTAATAGAAATATTTTCCAATGTGACACTAACATTTTTTACAATACATGTAAGCTCTAATTATAATTTTTATATTATAATTTAAATATTATCATAAAAAATATTTTCTATAATAAGATTAGAAAAATATATAAATGGAATGAAGTGTAATCACAAAAATCACGATTCATTATAACAAAAAAAAATTCGAATACGAACTGTCTAATGTTAAAAGCTGACTGATATTCTACTATGCAAATACTTCGATGAACTAACGTAGGATAATCGGAGAGTTTAGAAATATGCGAGAACAAGGGAGCCTCTGTTTTACGCTTAAATATAAAAAATGCCTCTATCTTCCGTTTAATGTCTCGGCATCACGTCGCTTCTGATTCAATGAAAAATCTTTTTAATATATCGAGTATATTCATTAAAGAAATGAATAAAAATAATTTAGAGTATCATCATATAAATAAATAAAAAAAAAAATAAATAAATAAATAAATGTACACATATACAAAAATTTTCTACAAAGTCGTATTATTAATAAAAATCATTTCTTCTTTGATTTAATTCAAAGCCAAAAGTATACATTGTAAAATAATTATTTTAAAAGCTAACATATACATATTGCGTAAATGTGTGAAATAATTTAAATTAATCAGTTTCATGAATATGGGTACAGATATGGCTAGTAATATTATGGAGATCGCCTCCCACAATGAGACTGAAATAGAAAAAAGTGATTTTTAATTTTATTCATCATTTTATTCTATTACTTTACTTAAAAAATAAAAGTATATATATATATATGAAGACAGTGATTTATTTTAAAAATAAATGTAAATATAAGTTTGTATAAGTCTAATTGTTCGTTAATTTATATTAATATGTTCCCTGCCAAACTGTTTTAGCCTAACTTGTCGTATAGGTCATTTGATTTTCAGTGCATTAGATGAATATGTCTGCGTGTACCATTTATGGTCAAGTTTGACGTGTACCACAAATGGTACACATGGCAAGAAACTATTAAACTATTAACCTTTTAAGCACTACTATAGTGGCTAACCCTGTTTTATTTTTTAAGCACGACTATAGTGGCTTTCACAGATGTCCTTTTTAAGAACAATACTCCACTATAGTGGCTTTTGCAGATGGCTAAATATTTATTATTATAACTAATTGTATTATTAATTGTTAAAGTAAATTGTCAAAATACTAGTCTTATATATCAGTATGTGTATCAGTCTTTAAGAAGTTATTATTTAAGAATTTAGATTATAATTAAATTTAGAATTTCATTTCAGTGTACTTGCGTAGATAACAGCATTGTTTTACTCATACTGCAGTTGTGCAGTTTAGTGTAACTCTTCTTAAACCATGCCTTTCTGCGAAACAACAGCCTCATGCAACATTTAATCGTGCCTAAGAGGTTAAAGATTATTATAAAGACAATTCAAAACAGAGAGAAGTAAAGTAAAAGAATCTATTTAAAACTGTTCACAATAAGTATGAAAATAAAATTTATTCTCTTTTACTTTCATCAGAATCTACACTAGAACTGCTAGAAGAACTACTGCTAAAACTACTACTGTCTGAATCTGAGTCTGTATCACTACTATCGACGGAACTTGAAGTGTCGCTGATGGATGACGTTCTGAAAAAATATTCACACATTATATATTTGATATTATGTTAAAACGTATCAACTATCTTTTGTTATTTTGTATTTAATAATATTTAATAATAACATTTACTTACTCTTCCTTCTTATTCGATGAAGGATTAAGATTTAAATTCTTTGCATGCTTCGTTATATCTTCTACTATATTTTCTATAACTATGTTTTCTTTTAAAGTAACCTTTATTGCTACTTCTATTTCTTCTAACTCCAAATCTATATATTCTTTACATGGATATACCTTTAATTAAACAAACAATGTAAAATTTATGAATCCACATATAATATAATATTTCTATTAAAAGTTTTATTATATAATAAACTTACACTTTTTAATTGAGGAATCAATGTATCTGTCAAAGATTCCGGAATTCCTTGCAACCAAATAAGGTAATCCTTGATATACAACTGATTCAACAAATATCGTGGCTCGTGAGAATTATTAAATAGACTATGTATCTCGCAAAATAGCTTTATAATATATTTCCTTCCTGTTGATAATCAAAATATTATTATTGAATATATAATTTAAATATAATGTTTAAATATATATTAGAATTTATTATCAAACCTAATGTAATGACTTGCTTAACATCTTCGAACACTTCCATGGATAATCTCCAGTTTCTTACTAAAGGATAACAAAGCGATCTTCTGATGCATGCTTTTATAACTTCATTCGCAGTTTCAAAAGTCTAATAATAATATTTTATACAAAGTTATTAATAAAGAAATGTAATCTATATAAAAATTGATAAATAATATAAAAAACAAAAGTAAAAACATACTTGAAACCAAGACAAAGTTGAGCTAAGCTTGTTAATCGTCCATCCGCTTTCGACATTATTTTCACCATCTGTTATTCTATGATTGTAACAACTAGCGTATAAAATATCGACTAAACCCAAAAGTACTATATTAATTTCTTTATCATCTAATAAATATTCTTTATTTGGAAGTTCCTTCAAAATTTGGATTTCATTTTTATCAAATTGGATATCTTCTTTTTTTAATTTACACCATGGTGGATTATACGAAATATATGGTTGTACACATTCGATATCCACAAAATCAGCCATGTAATGGTCTTCATTAAAATCTTTTGATTCTGTTTTTTCTCGGAGTTTTGTACGTGCATCTTCAGGAGTAATATCAGGTGTGGGTAAATCTATAATTTCTTTAATCCAGGCAGACTATAAATAAATTATTAATAAATATTTAAATATTCATTTTTATGCTGTAAAGTATTTTATAAAAATCATATTAACGTACCTCGAAAGATTTTAACGCGCCAGTAACTTTATTTGCAAATCCATACTTAGGAGCATTTATCAATAAGCATGAACTATTACTTGGTTCTATTGATTGAGGAAAATACCATTTGTTAGATGCTTCTTTATCATCCTCTTCTTTATCATCTTCTCCTTCATCATCTTCCTCTTCGTTATTTTCTTCTTTATTACTTGCTTTTTTATCATCTTTCTCTTTGTTATCTTCTTCTTTATTGTCTTCTTTTTTATCATCCTTCTCTTTATTATCTTCTTCCAAATCTTTATTTGTTTTTTCTAAATAAGCAGGATTACCTGTTGCATTGAAAAAAAAAAGATTTTCATTTATAAACAGCACGCTTAATATTTTTCCATAAAATAAAGCTTGCTTTAATAACATACCAATGACTTCAATTTTTGGTCCAATTGAATGTTTAGGCTTCGATGATAATAACGTAGTTATCATATCTAAATTAGGAAAAAATTCACCTTTGTTTACCTTAGAAAATTTTAAAGTGAAACAACCCTTATCACAATCATAGCTTCCAGAGGATGTAGAAGTCTCTTCTATTTCTCCAGGTAATTTGAGTCTGTATATGAAATAAAAACACGTATTAGAAAAAAAGATAGTGTATATAATAGTTATTAGTTTAAGTAAACAATAAGACTTCATGAATTTTTTATATTTTACCTAAGATAATATGGAACTGCATAAAATCTAAAATCATCTCCATCGACTTCTATCTGTGTGTCTTTAATATTAGCATAAGGTGCATTAATAATAATCGTAACATCATCGTCAGTTTGTGTTATACTAAATACAGGCGTTAACATTGTTATTTATATTTATTTATTTATTTATTTTTTTATTTATTTATTTATTTATTTATTTCTTTTCTTATTAATATAGCAATTTAATATTGCAGAAACAAATTGTAATAAAACACGCATGCACAAATAAAAAATATAAAAATGAATTGAATTACACAGTGCAAGATACACAAACGTCAAACCATAACGATATGCACGTGAAAAATACTTTGAGTAAAATGGGTTTCATTTTTTAATTTTTTCATAAATTTCTTCTGAATTTGTATCAATAAGAACGTTGGCCTTAAGTACCAATAGAAACATTCGATTACTTTAAACATCCAATCATTGAAGTTGACCAATCACGTGTGATTATTTTGATATCTTATAATTTCATTGGTAGTTTTCTTCCCGCTTGTGTAAATGAAAATCGACCATAAGGATGATAAAATTATGGCGATGGTCACATTTACAAGGGTAATAGTTCGATTTAAAATCGTTCAGAAGGGTCATGGCTATATGAGAGAAGGAGTAAAAATTCTCGAAAGGAAACGAACTAGATACGAATTGATAGACTGTCTGACACTTGTAAAGAGGATCATATAAAAGAAAAAATGGCCCAATTACCAGCAAAATTAATGTCATTAACAAAAAGTATGTAAAGTATTTGAACAATTTTATTGCTAATAAAACAAAATTAGTTTTCAGTTCACATAGTTGGTGTATCATAATTCGACCATTTATTATTATATAACTGTCATTTGTTGTCAAATTTCACGAATATTAATTTGTTATRTATATATATAAATATTCTTTAATTTCTAGCATTTTATAATTCTACATTATTTCATTTGATTACAATAAGTGTAATTGATAAAAGGTTATGTTAAAAGTTAAATATTGAAAGCTACATCTTAAAAGTTATAATAGTTTCAAATTAAAATAAAAAAATTGAATAAAAAGATAAAATATTATCTATTGATAATTTTTTATAGATTGTCTAAAACAGGCGGGTCCAAAACTACAAGTTTTTCAAGCTTATGCTAAAGTGGAATTAATGCCACCAAAACTATCTGAATTGCCAGCAGTGAAAAGAAGTATTACAGATCTTATTACAGCTGCTAAAACTGGTCGTTACAAAGAATTAACCGTACGTGAAGCTTGGCTCAATACTTTAGTCGCTATAGAAATATATTGTTGGTTTTATGTAGGTGAATGTATTGGAAAACGACATATTGTTGGATATGATGTGTAAGCCACAATTATTATTACCTACGGTTAGATAATTATGTATAGATGATTAACTTCTTAAATATATAATAATGGAAAAGATAATTTAATTAATGCATTTTATTTATTAAATTTGATATAATGTTATAAATTTAATTTATATTATATATTAATTATATTAATTTTTTTTTTTAATCTTTTATTATTATCACCATCTTAATTATTATACTATCATTTTCGCAAAGTTTACACTCTATTCCAGTAATACATAATCTTTTATAAAAACAAATCAATCCTTATGATCAAGAGTTCTTAGTAAATATATGTTGTTGTGCATAATGCCATAAACAAATGGCTCCACTGACATGAACATTTAATGAACGTATTAGTCCAATTTGAGGTATTTCCACGCAAACATCGAGAATAGATATTATATTAGCCGGTATACCGGTCTTTTCATTTCTGCAGAAATTTATTAGCAATTAAGTAAAATTTTTATGGATAAATTGATTTGTACTTACCCTAAAACAAGTACTGTCTTCTTTTTAAATTGCATACTCCAAAGATCAGTACTTTTATCAGTTTGTTCAAGTCCTACCAATTCCCAACCACATTTGGATTTTGTTAAAAGATATTCACGTAATTGCTGAGGTTTTACCTATCATTTTAAAAATAAAAATTAATCATTTATATATATATATTCTATAAAAAATTATGTCATTTTTAATATGTTAAAAATGCTAAGTTTCTTTTATTGAGTTTCCCATTTAAACCATTCAGCTTTAAAAAAAGCATAATCATGTTAACCATTTGTAACCGATTTATGAAAAGTCTAAGACTGGCCTATGAAAATTAGCATGGTATTTAACGTATTAAATAAAATTTAAATACCTCTTGAATAGATATCCATTTATCGGCAGACACACTGACATTTTTAAATTTGCTATCTTGTGTATGCTGTATATTTCCAATAATGAATTCTTGAACACCAAATACTTCACACGTTCTTATAAGACCTCCTAGATTTGCAGGACGTTCAATCAGAGATGCAACCAATATGATGCCTTTATCCTGTATTTGAAACATAGGTGACATTGCTGTCGATAAATTATATTCAGAAGAATTAACTAATTTACGGGGTATAATCTTCTTTTGTAAATCATCCGTGCTATCAGATTCTGTTTCAACTATTAATGTTTCCCTGTTAACTACAAAACATATTTTTTGTTTACAAATGTTGTATATGCAACGATTATCATACATGCATATGACTTTAACACTCACTTGAACCGGCTTTAGTATATTGTGAAGGTACTTTAGATTCAGCTAATTTGTTACTTAAATTTCTTAAACGTAAAGGATGATTATTATTTTCTATAAAATTTAAATCTTCGAATAAATAAAGCGGAATCCATTCATCTATAAATATGGTTGACAATCTTGGCATCTCATAATAGATAGTCTAAAAATATTAGGATTATTTGAATACACAACAATATTATTAATGAATAAAATATAATAAATTTAACAATATAATAGATTACCTGTAAACTATAATCATCTTCTGGATGAAAAGCAGAAAAATAAAAAGCATCCTGTATTTCTACACATTTTTCTAAATCTTTCATCGACTTTCCTTCTTGTAAATGTTTAACTGTTGCATTATATATTCCTGAATATTCTGATACAATGTTATCAAAATTAGAGGATTTTGATAGTTCATATAATTTAACCAGAATCACCTAGTTTGACATAATAAAATAAAAAAACTTGTATCATTTTTCAATATCATAGTCCCATAATTCTATTCTACTCAATTTACCTGATTGCACAGACGCACATTAAAATTTTGGCCTAAACAGCAATGTGCAATGTATGGCATTGCTCGCGTAAGGAAATCACATTGAGCTTGTCCAAAAAAAAATAGAGAGACATGATATATCACACTTGCAATTGAACTTGCACATCCAGGACGTTTCGATATAATCTGTGTATAAATTGTAAGAAAGTTAATAATGATAATTTTGATAATAATATTACTTTACAATACCTCTTCAAAGAATTCCCATAATTTATTATGTAAATCAGTATATTTTACAAATATCCTAATTAATAACCATTCTTGCATTAGACGTATACTATGCTGATTACTTTCTATTAACATTAAATTACATATTAATTCTTGAACCGATATAATACTTTCCTATAAAAAGAAAAATATAATCACTTGCATTAAAATTCTTTCATTTGATATACAGAAAATGATAGAATTTGTATGAAAATAAACTTTAATTTTGATTACCTTGTTTAATACCGGTTCTAATAACAATAATATTTGCATCAATCTATGTTTTACTCTATGTATATAAGAATCTTTGAAATATCTTTTATCTATATATTTTTTCAGTTCTTCATTAACAAATTGCCAAAATATCAATGCAAATTCAGGATTTTTGGAAATTATTTTGTGAAGTAATATTACTGCGTGTGCCTTCACGGTTGCATCAATATTATAGTCGCTATTAAAACAAACAATACAAAAGATATAATTTAATAATAAATCCCTAATATATATTTTTTTTTTTTTTTGTATATAAATATTAATATACATAATCCCTTACATGTTCATCGAATGAAGTTTATACAACTCTTGAAAATCTTTTTCTATAGACAAATATATTTGATTTTCAATCTTTTTATCTCGTCTAATAGTATAACCATGAAGAAGACATGCCAATAATAATGTAGGAACATTTATTTTATTAAAGATTGTATGGTTAATATTCAATGATTCCATTCGATTTAACAATATTCTTTTTAAATTGGGCATATTATCGCCTTCTTCAATCAATTGATCTAGAAACTAAAAAATATAATTTAAATATATGAGAATACAACAAATTGAAAAGAAATAATTGTATATATTGTTTCTTACTTGATTTGTAATAGTCTCAATGTCTGGTATATTTAAATATTTAGGATTAATTATAACTGTGAGAAGACTTTTAACAGTCTGAGAGAAATTGTTAAATTTTTTATGATTGAATGTAATTTTCCAACATAATTCAATTGTCGATTTAAAATATGTAACTTTTTCTTCACTTATTATTTCATCATTTTCGATGATTGCTTGTAATAATGGTGCTATTGAAGAAATTATATTCATACCTTCCAGATCAAGAAGTTTCGTTATTATCTGGTACCAATCTATTTTCCATGTATTACTTTGAAATTGTAGAAGATAGTTATGCATTAATTTAGTCATAAGAACATAGTAACGTGACATAATTGTTCCTTTTACATTATTTATATTACAAGATCCCTTCTCAAAAGGAACAACAAGTTCAAAATTGTTCATTTCTTTTATACAGAATTCATACATATCTTTGGAACATGATACAATATTTAAATTTTGGCAGAGAAGTACTACGTGTATCAAGGATAAATATTCAATACTTTTTGCATCAAATATGTTAGCTACTAGCATTTTTAAATTACATGCGTGCATACTCATTGTTTCTTTACAGAGTATTATTAAATCTCTGTTATTCAAAAACGTCGTAATCATATTTAAAAATTCATCCAATTCTTCGAAAAGTATGTTAGGTAATTTTTTGACATATTTAATTACAAGTGTCAAGGCAATATTGCCATAGTTAGATAACATTTGTGTGATAATATTACGATTTTCGTTAAGCAAATATGACATTAATATAAGTATTCTAACATTTACTTGACTATTAGAATATGGTCTCTGATCAGATCTAATCAACACTTCGAATAAATGTTTTAAATTTAGAAAAGCAACGCATGTCTGTGTATGAAATACTAATTTAGCATCGTGCAGAAGACAAATCATGAGCACAAGAATTTTAATATCATTGTAAAATGTTTTATCATCCACAATATATTGGTTTAAGCTATAACAAATATAAGTTGAAGCAGAAGTGTTTTTAATTACTTTGGGTAACCAGTTAACAATTATTTTCCAAGTATCTGAATCTTTTTTTAAAACTTCGTCAATGGTAAAATTATACAAAATTTGTGAAAGTATCATTAAATCATTTATCATTATATCAGAAAATGATATCATCTTAATAATATTAATTTGAGATGCAGCACGTAAAACGATCGAATGTTTTCTCAAACATTTACTCAATGATTTAATAGCTACCAAATCATTTTCTTCCAATTTAATGCGAGATTGATTCATTTCAAAAACGTTAGAAAGAACATACGTAATATAAAATATCGCCACAGGACCCCAATCAATTGATATAATGTGATGCAAAAATTTCTTTAAAATGGAATCAAAAGATTCAGTTAAATCATTAAAAAGTTGTATAAGTCTTTCTACTACTTTTGATTTGTCCTCATTGGATTCTTTTTCATACAAAAAAGTGTTATTTAAAACATTTACAAAAAATTCAAGAAACTTATCATCACACATTATTTCATCAAAATCGCAAATAATTAATATTCCTTGCTTGACTAAACTTTTATTATCGTGTTTTAATATTCTTTTAAAAATACTACTCAACCATGTAATATCAAGGCAATTTTTGCACACTCTCTTGTTCATTATCAAATAGGGTAAATGAGATAAAGCAGGTAATATCAAATGAGCTTGTACTTCTTGCAATGCTTCTAAGATCAACACAAATTTATGTCTATTTCTTTTTTTTGTCGATTCAGAACAGTTATCGCATATGAAAGGAACCAGCACACTTTTTGTTACATACAAATTCTCTAATTTGCTCATGTCGCCCATAAAATCCATCACTTTCTTTAATACATGCAATGCCCATTTTTTATGTTGTTTTACATCGGAATCTAATCCTTCTTTGATTTTTATCCAAAATTTATCTTCGCAATACAGATTGATGTATAAATCACGAAGAGAATCTTGTTCTAATTGAAAATCATGATTTACGATTGTATTGAGAGCAATAAGCAAATCTGGAAGATTTTTCAATTCGTTTAAGAAAAGATCCCAAATTAGAAATAATATATTATTTTGATCAAACATATTGTATAGTTTAATTAAAATTGATCCTAACGATTTCCATTGTAGATTGTCTTTTGTTTTTAACACAAATTTTACATCATCTAAGAACAACGGAACAAATTCTTTGTATTCGTTACATTTGTCCTTATTAAAAAGATAACAGTATAAATTCAATGAGTCTAAAAAACATTCCAATACTTTTGTATACAATTCTGTCATGTTAGTGTCATTAAGATAAAACTCTCTCGAATTTCTGAATTGTTCCAATTTGACTTTAATAGATTTAATATCGCAATACAAAACCATTTGCAATAACAAAATATCATAGATAATCGATATATCTGACGCAGTGTAACATTGATCTTCATGAATAAAAATTTTATCAACATTTTGGATAGAAATATCATTAAAACGTTCAAACTTACACTTATTATTGTGATCAAATTTAAGTTGATATATATAACATAATATCTGATTAAAAAATTGCAAGCTTTTGGTATCTACAGGATTTTTGATTAAATTATTATACAATTGGACGACATTATGCAAATATTTAAACGGATCATCTTTAAACTTAGTTTCAAAGATTTCGATTATTGTTACACTGACAGTAGGAAATTCCATATACTTTTCATGTAAATCCATATTGAATTAATGTTTTGCGCATAATAACGATATTAATTAATACTTAATTCTTATTGTGCTAATACAGAAAATGATATAATCAAAATAACGAAAGAAGAAACAAAAAGAACACACTTATCAGACTTGCATAAGAATAAATAAGAACTAAAACAAATTTTGAATTTTTTCTTCTATTTTATGTCGTTATTTGTTGTTGTTGATTGTGTTGTGTGTTATACACTAAAAACTAAAGTCAACGTGAAGGCGCGTTCGCGTATTTCTTGTTGTTTACTTTTTTTTTTCTTTGTTTATTATTAATTGTTTTCTTTTTTTCAAATTTTTTGTTATCATCACAAACGAACAATGACGGTTTTGCAAAAATGGAATTTATTATTTACTTAACCAATAAAAGTGCACGTGGACGTGTCACATGCACGGTTGGTAAATGTTGATGATTATAGAGAACATTGTAACACGTCGCGATTGTAAGAAAGAGAAGGAAAAATATACGTTGGGTTTACATTTGTTTAAATTGAAAAGAGAAATTTGACGAAAAAGAAATAACGACGGAAGGAAGGAAGGTAAGAAAAGAAAGAAAAAAAAAAAAAAGACGAAATAGAAAAGAAAAGAAAAGAAATAGAAAAAAAAAAAGAAAAAATTAAAGGAAAGAAAAGAAAAGAAAAGAAAAGAAAAGAAAAGAAAAAAAAATACCGTATCTCGATCGAAAGTTAAAAGTAAGGGCGCATGAATGATTTAGTTGATAAAATTTTCTTCCGATCAGTTACAATACGGTTGACTGAATAAGCGTGCGAATGATCTTATGAGCGTACAATCGAAGAAAGTAAAGTAGAATAAGCGGCGGGTCCTTCTATAAGCCCGGTGCAACGGTTCGAAACGAATGAATGAAGAGAAGTGGTGGATTATTCAAAATCATTAGCTGGAGCAAACAAGTGGCCATATCCCGCCGCATAAGTTTGACAGCAATGGCTAAAAGTAAATTTGAATATGTAAAAGAATTCGAACGGGACGATAATTGCTTGCCAAATTGTTGGATTGTGGTTAGAATAGACGGTAGGAATTTTTCCAAATTCACCGACGCTCATCAATTTGCCAAGCCGAACGATGTTGCCGCATTGGAGTTAATGAATCGTGCTGCTATTACTGTTATGGAAGATTTTAAAGAAATAATATTAGGTTTCGGACAAAGCGACGAGTATTCCTTTGTATTTCGTAAAGACACCCAACTTTATAAACGTAGAGGTTTGTATTTGGCATTTACGCGACTAACCCCTTTTGGGTTATTAAGATATACAAAAATAAGTATATTTTTTATTTTATTTTATTTTATTCCATGTTTTGTTTATTCTATTTTTTTCTTTTTTGTTTTTTTTTATGTGTAAATATTTAGGTAAACAATATTTTGTTATTTTTTTTTTTTTTTTTACTATTATAAGTATTCATGTAATAACATTGATGTTTGATTTTTCAGTGTCCAAGCTCATGTCCAATGTGAATTCTTTATTTGCTTCATCTTATGTGTATCATTGGCCTCGATTTTTCAGAGGTAGAGATCTTTATTATCCGCCATCCTTTGATGCACGCGTTGTCTTATATCCAACAGATAAAAATTTAAGAGATTATTTGGCTTGGCGTCAAGCAGATGTTCATGTTAATAATTTATACAATACATGCTTTTGGAATCTTGTCCTAAAAGGAAAGCTAACTCCGAGTCAGGTATAATTCTTTTTTTTATTCTTACATTAATTGTGTGATATCATTTATTCTGAGCTTCTTGTAATATTTAGTATTTTATCTTTTTTTTTGTAGGCTGAAGAAAAGCTTAGAGGTACTCTAGCTTCGCACAAAAATGAATTGCTTTTCCAAGAATTTGGAATAAACTATAATAATGAGCCTGCCATGTTTCGGAAAGGCACTATACTTTTACGTAAGCTTGTACCGGATGGTACAGGACGATTAAAGCCTGTTGTCCTTCCATTAATTGATGATATCATCGGTGATCGGTTTTGGAAAGAGAATCCTGAAGTAATAGGTTTAAAAAGTTTAGCAACTTATCAACCACCCATCAATAATGCTATGAAAAATACAATTTGTACACCAGTGCCTCTATCTCCTGGTACTCTTAAACATATGAATAATGTCACAGTACCTCCTGTTGTATGTAATACAAATTCAAAGAATGACGAAACAAATGTTATAAGAAATAGAGAGATAGATGGTGATCGAATGCAATGTGAAAGTGACCAAATTATTAGAAAATAAGTTGTGTTACAATATTTTTTAAGACAAAACTAAATATAATATTATTTAAATTATGTGCTTATCCGTTCTTCGATCATGCAAAAGTGAATTTTATTATATAAATCAACAACGTATTGCATGCATTGATAATGGGTATGGATGATCAACATACATATCTTTTGCCTCTTTACATTAACATTGTTACGACGTATTGTGGATAAATAGAAGAAATACCAATGGAACTTTTTGCAAAAACTTCAGCGGATCAAGTTAGATTAAACAAACAAGATTAACTTTTTACAATTGCACATTTTTCATTTTATTTCTCTATAATGTGTTTGTTTACCGTTTTCAATGTGTACAGGTATTTAACACAAAACATAAACATTTGTATTATATCATGTAGAATGTAGGATACCTTTATTTTTTATTATTCTAATTATTATATTATTATTACTATTATTATGATTATTATTATATTATTATGATTATATTATTATTATGATTATTATTATTATTATTACTACTACATTACTACATTATGATATAAAGCATAACATGAAATAATACTATATGCCACAATGAATTACACTGCATATTGGAATAAAATACACTATGTACACAATTTAATCCGCATCATTTCCATATATATTTACACACATATATATATTTATATATATATATATATAAATATATATTTGTATATATATATATGAAAATTTGGTGATTTTGGAAGAAAATACATGGAACAATTTAGACGATACAACTTAACCAGTGCATCAGTATTATACACATTTCTTTTTCTTGGCAGTTTCTTGTACATTATATTCTTTATTTTCTACACAGCAATGGGTAACTTTCTTCTTTTTATTTTTTCTGTTTTTTTTTTTTTTTTTTTCATATATTTATATGCTCATATACATTAAATACTTAAATACAACAAGGAGCAGGTAGAAAGAAATTCATTGTTGTATTGACATAACATATACATATATATGTATATATATATATATGTGTGTATATGATTTTTGATAAAATATGTAATTGATTTAAACAAAACAAGATACAATTAAAATATTGGAATGTAATTGTCGATTTTAGCGCGATGCTTTTGTGCAACGCATTCAGCTATCCAAACAATATTACGACATTCTTGCTCTTTTAATTTTAAATAACTGTAGAATACTCCAAAGTGGAATTGTTGTAGGAATGCATGAACATTTAAACGAACCTATAATATTTAATATTTAATATATATATATAATATTAATAGAAAATAATAATGAAACTAAATAATAAGAAAAAATATTACATTTGTTTTAGATTAACTTACTTCGTGTTCAAAGAATTTATCTTCCAAAGTTTTGTCACCAGGATTATTACCTGCTCCTTCAAATAAAGCGCTATATTCCTGTACAATTAATATAATATTACGTTAATCATATTATAAATATTAAATAATGTAAACATGCAAAACTATGTCGTAACAATATAATGCAAAATAATGTTTTTAACTAACCGCATAATACTCAGCAACAGCTTTAACTTGTTCATAATCATCGGCTCTTGCTAATGCAGCCAATCCATCTGGATTTAAACGTCCACAACGTGGATATAATTTAGCACGATCATCTTTACCCAATTCAGTTCCAAATGAATTAATGGTTATAATGATAGCTCTTCTATCAGCTTCAAACTATATAATTATGATTAATATTTTATATTATTAATAATATTACTTTATATATTATGTAATAACGATTTGACAAATAATAATAATAATATAAATTTCTTACAGCAAGTATTTCACACATAGTATCGGCAGTAGTACCACCAATATCTTTGCAAAATTTATAAAAAGCTTCTAAATAAGCTTTGTAAAGAGTGTTTCGAATAATTTCAATATTCATTTCATCTAAATCTTGTTCGGATATACAATCAACGAAGAATGGTGCTGTAAATGATGAAATTGTTGTCAACAAATTATCATATTATCAAAATTGTAATATTGTTGATTAGATTTGTTACCTAATGGTGTGTCTACTAAAACAGCATTGTATAATTCAGCTGGTGTAGCAGCTACATGGATAGCTTCCATTTGTTCAAAACTACCAAGTGGATGACACTTTGGAATTAATTCAGAGATAGGTCTTTGATGTAAAGTACCAGTAATTAACAATATTATATTGTCGATCATATAACTGTAGGTGATAAAATCAAGAAACTGTGCCAGTGGTTCGACTGAATGATTACGCATGTGTTGAAACTCTACGACTAATTTTTCTCTTAATTTATCATCTATAACGCTAACGGATAATGGTGATGGTTCATTTGCTAAAAAACTTCCATAATCTGTACCAGCAAGATGTAACTTTAAATCTGTAAATATTCAAAGACAAATAATAATATTTAATATTTTATCATTATTTGATATTGATGAAATAATATATAGGAAAATGAATTAATTTATAATTATGACAAAAACGTTACGTTTATTTTTTTTTTTTTTTTTTTTAATTGTACAATTAATTATTTTTATTTAAATTATTACAAAAAAAAAAAAACAATAGAATTGCTTTACCTTCGAGAGTCTCGCATTGAACTAAATTGAGATAATCACTTTGCTGAAGTATTCCACATTTGAAACCACGGCAAAGCCCTTCCAAATATCCACCATCTATGTTGAACATGCAACCCTTCATGTTGACAATTTATTTGGAATTTTGTTTTTTCCAATCAAAAATAATGTATGTCACTTTAAGTCCAGGAATTGTCAAGATTATAACTTGAACGCCCAGACTCGCCCTTCTTGCTTGCCGATCATATGACTGGATTGTCAGGGGAGCCAAACTTAAATATGAAAGTAAAAGTTTTGCTTGTGTGTCGTCATTGACGATAAATGTGCTGACACCTAGTATATTGCCATTTAATGATTAACAATAAGTCTCTGATAAGATAGACATTAAAATAACATATAAATTCTTATATTAATTAGAATTATTTTTATTTATAATATCATATATGTTAATTATTTTTATTGAAGTGAAAAGTTTTTTAGAATGAGGCGTAAACTCAATTTACGTGTCTACGAAAAATTCTATCAATGCACGAGTGTAATAATAATTTAATCAATGCACGAGTCTACGAAAAGTTCAGTCAATGTTCTTCTAATGCATGAAAAAAATTTTTTCAATTTTTGAAAATCAATGAGCTACGAAGAATTTCGTCAATGCACGAGTCTACGAAAAGTTCAGTCAATGTTCTTCTAATGCATGAAAAAAAGTTTTTCAATTTTTGAGAATCAATGAGCTACGAAGAATTTCGTCAATGCACGAGTCTACGAAAAGTTCAGTCAATGTTCTAATGCATGAAAAATTTTTTTTCAATTTTTGAGAATCAACGAGCTACGAAGAATTTAGTCAATGCATGAGTCTACGGAAAGTTCAGTCAATGTTCATTGATAATAGTACCGCTAGATGGCGACACATATTCTACCTGTCGGTAAGATGAAGTAATAGCTAATACCGCTAGATGGCGGTACATATTTTACCATACGATAAGATAAAGTAACAGCTAGTATCGCTAGATGGCGGCACATATTTTATCAGTCGATAAGTATAATTTGTTTTTAAAATGCACAAGATTTCGATCATTGACTAATTTCTTCATAGACTCATTAAATTTTGAATAATAAACGATGTCATTTTAATTTGAGAATATCTTTTAATAATATATATATATATACATTTTCTTTTTTATAATTTTTTATTTAATTAATTTAATATAATTGTAAGCTTGGTAATAAGAAGATTTTATTTCTAACACGTGAGATCTGCACACATGATATTTTTAATAGGTATGAGAAATATATATATATATATATATAAATATATACATATATAAATATTTTGATTTATATACCATATTTTATATTAGAAAAAATTAGATAATAGAGTGATCAAAGGATTATTACATATTAATTAATAATAATTATTTCTATACAAAATATATATGTACATCTCTACTTTACTTTTATCATGAAAAAATAAAATGTTATTTAATGAACAAAATATAAAATTAATATTAAAATATAAAAACGATTGATTAAAATCATATATGTACATAGTAGTATATGCAGCTAGTAATTTTATTAAATATCTGTAAGTATATAAAACACTTACATAGTTTTACATTCTGGTGAAAAAAGTAAGATATATATATATATATATTTATATTTATATGCATATGCATACGCATAAATAATTTATCTCGATAAATCAACTAAATCTTAATCTAAATAAGAATAAAACACCTTGCCTATAGAAACAGTTAATATATTGAAGCTTTTTTTTTTTTTTTTTTTTTTTAATGATAAATTTTAATTACATTAATCCCAATTTTTAATACGTAATTCAGGTTCGAGTATCGACCAATTAGGCGAATGTTTCTCATTCGATAACCAATTAAAGTCATCTATACAATTCCAATTATTAATTTTTGGATCGAGACCAGCCAAACAGAAATGATTCATTTGATCTTCATAAGACCAATTGTAAGGTGCTACTCTTATATTTGTACAATCTTCTATAATTGCTCTGCTAGTAACGTGGAGGTATATAGTGCAATCCGTAGACGAATGTAATCGAAATTGTTGACATGCAAAAGCAAATGTACAATCAATACAGTCATGAGCAAATACAGATGATGTTACCGGTCCTACTAAGATAGTACATTGTTTCAAATTAATCATATGCAACGTAATAGGCGTGCCATATATTCTTACTGTACATCGAGTTAAATCAGAAAGAAGAATATCATTCTTATTAACGTTTTCAGCATCCAATACTATTTGTTCGTCCAACTTTCCTACTAATATACAAGCATTCTCTCCATATTTATTAAACAATTTGTTATTTTGTTTGGACGAACCATTAACGATACCTTCCGATATTTTGAGATCTTTTAATCCATCGGTCACGTCGTACGTTTTTTCTGTTGGTTTTTTAACAACTCTTCTATTCTTAAATCCAAACTTTTTCTTCGGTAAAAGTTTCATTTCCAATTCCGAAGCTTCATTTTCTAACAATTGTAAATTTTCCTGTGCCTTTCTAATGTCATAAACTTTTAAATACATTTTCGATTGTGACAGGTAATTTTTAAGCATCAAAATTTCTTTGCTTATTTTATCAAAAGACACGGAAAGTACCGATGATGGTGGTGCACTAGATGCGTCATCTAGCATATCTTTTATTTTTTTACACGACGAATAAAACGTATCCTTAAAATAACTACTTTGTTCTGATTCTACTGCGAGAGATTGTCGTTCTTCTTTCCGTCTTTCAATGATGTTTTTCCTTTCACGATCTCTCTTATTTATACGTTCCGGTAAACTTCCTTCGATGAAATTAGTGTTCTCCATCTTATTGTTATCTGAATGCTATTTGTTAGTATTGTTTATATTATCTTCAAATAACACTGATACAGATTTCATAAGTTTCTCCTCACTTGATTCTTTTATCTTCCTCAATTGTTTCAAGACTTTATTTTTATCCTCCGTTGTTGTAGATCTTTTAGGCGAATTATCATACGCAAGGAACTGTTTAAACATATAACACAATATATATATATACATATAATAATATAGATATTTAATAGATAATTAATAGATATTTAAATATCGTATTTCATTATACAAAATATAATATAATGTTAATTACCTCTTCCAATTCACGTTGACTTATTGACAGCGTTTGTATTAGGTAATATCCTAAACCTCCACCACCTATTAACAGTAACATAGATTTGAAGAACGCCATGAATACTAAATCTTAATTTTATTCCCATTTCATCTTGTCAGCTGTTCTCATTGAATCATCACCTGATACTTTTTCATGTATATAATAAAAACCATTTAACATCGATGGAAATTTTTGGTGTAGAAAATATCTGAAATCTAAAAAGGTAAAGAAAGAAAGAAGGAAGGAAAGAAAAAAAGAAAAGAAAAGAAAAAAGAATGAAAATATCCAAACGTACAATGCTATCAAAGAAGTTTATTGTCCTAATTAGAAAAAAAAAAAGATACCATTAATATATCAAGATATCTATATAATTATACAATTTAATATTATAAAAATGAAGAAATATATTCACCAATTAAAAAGGGATAGTTGAAACTTTCAAAATACGTTGTTACTTGAAGACAAAATAATATACCAAAAAAAAAAAAAAAGAAACGTTAACCAAGGAATATATTAAACTATATATCGATTTGTAGAACTTATTTTGTAAGGCTCGTAATTGAAAATGAAAAAAAAATAAAAAAGAATCAAGTTAATACACATGACATGTTAGAAATGAAAACAAGAGTAACAAATATATCGTTAAAGGTAATAACCTGAACTTATTAACGAATTGACTAATAATAGTAATATAACTTACCTGGAATTCTACACAAACTACTCCAAAGTGCTAACGAACCACAAAGTAGCGCACCCTCAAATATTAAAATTCCTCTTCCAATTTTAGCAGGATTAATTCTTTTAGGTTCTCTATAAAGCATACTAAGAAGGAATACGATTTCCTCTTTAGGAAATCATCAATACCATGGCGAATAAGACTAAATCTTGGAGTAGTCTTGAAACACGACACGATTGGGAAGGGATACGAAATAATAAGAATAATTCCTATTCGCTAACCGGCTCACCCACGTCTCGATTATTCGAGTATTTTTCGAGATATCGATAACTCGTAACCGATATCAATTGCATCGTAACATCGATATATGTATACATTGATATATTTAAAAGTTCGATACGGCGGTATCGAAAGTTTCGATTAGGGCGGGAAATTTAAAACGAATGAAATGTGTCAATTTTAATTTACAAGGATAAGCGAAAAATGGATTTACATTATCATTATTATTATTATTATTATTATTGTTATTATTATTATTATTATTATTATTATTATTATTTATAATATTAGAATTGATTTAGTAATATCTAAAACCGTGGATTCTCATTAATTGTATCATACTTTCGATAAGTTTTATATATATTATTATATCGTACATTGTTTTTCGTTTTTGTTTTTTAACGATATACATCAAATATATATAGTTACTTTTAATAATTTTGGAAAGTTTGTTTTGTTTTTTTTTTTTTTTTTATTCGTTATTCGTCGTTTTTATCGTCTACACTCTTTATATTTTTTTTATCTTTTATTCATTTACGTCAATACAATTAATTTTAATTTTAACAACTAATTGTAAGTATTTAATATGTTTTTTTTTTTATTGTTGTTTGTTTTGTTATTGTTGCGAGAAACACATTTGTAGAAAAAGGAATATTTTCATTGTCGCACAAAATTCCTATCAATTAAATTGGATCCATAGTCGAAAAATGTCTACTATTTCTTATTTAAAAGTATGTGTATATATATATATATATATATATATATATATATACGAATATTTTACGAGAAATGTTATTCAAAATTGATTTTTTTTCTTTTTCTTTTATTTTGCTTAATTTTTGAATATCACTCGAATGATATTAATATTATTTATTATTATTACCTATTTTATTTATTAAATCTTATTTACTATACTCGAACAAATTAGCTGAAAATATAATTACTCTTGGCAAAAAGGTATTTTAAACTACTATTTAACTCTCTCTCTCTCTCTCTCTCTCTTTGTTTAAGAAAATTTATTAATTAATCTTAAATTTAATGATGATATTATTCATATAAAACACAAAGCTAAGATGTATAATATGTTGTTAATAATATTTTGTTTCCTTCGTGACATATTTTGAGTTATTATTATTTTCTTTTGTTTTGTTTTGATTACGCTATTGTCTGGAAAATATTTACTTAATTAATATATTTATATAATACGTTTATTTGATTTAACACTTAGGTCGAGTGATATTCAAACAAACATTATCGAGTTATATCCCCATATTATGCGAAACTTCGAAAAATGTTTAAGTTTATTTGTTATAATGTACAATGTGTGTGTGCAAATAATGTGTTGTTGCACTGGCCTTGTTAGGCCATGTCATTACAGACAGCGTTATTAATCTTTATATACGTATAGGTAAATCTTAATGTATATACATATACATTACATTTAAAATTTACCTGCATTTAAAATATAATCTATATATCTATATATATATATATATATATATAGATATATTTCATATGCTATGGAATATACATGAAATAAGTTATGCCCCATAACACATGAAATAAATTACATTATAAAGACTAAGTTATATTCTAACGTAATGTACATTAGAACAGAATAGTTTGAATTATTTTTTTAAATATAAGAAAGCAGGAACGCCCCAGATGAATATAGCGAAATCGTGGAATATTTTTGTTCATCTTAGAAAAATAACTTCGTACTCTTAAAGTAATTCTATTTTCACGCATTCATGTAATATAAAACACTCTATAATATGTATCTGTTATTTTTCTAGAATTAAATTACAAATCAAATAAGATGTACATTGCAATCGTTAAAAATCTTTTTTTAAAATCTTACATTTTAATCGATACGCTAGATTTTTTGTTCTTTCTTTTTTGTTTTTATTTTGTTTTTTAAATTAAAATAAGAGGCCTCTCTTTTACGAACTTATAAAAAAAAAAAAAACCTAATAATATATATATCAGAGAAATTGAAAATCTGTAAAAATAATATATAATTTCATTTTTCGTTTATGTTAATTAATAAATTACGTAAATCATTTTTAGAATAATGCATACATTTTTTTTTTTATATGGGACATGATTATAAGATTACTAACAGCTTTTAATTGGTTCCAACTAATTGATATTATCATATAATAACAAGTACATAATTATCTATAATAATGATAAAGCTGTTAATATTCTTTTAGAGTTAAGTACATGAGAAATAATTATAATAAAGGATATTCTTAATTATATAAATCATATTTATAACGATAAGAATTAAAAAGAAAATTTGCCCTCGTTTATAAGAGTTGATTGTTGCACATGAATATTGTTTTTTTTTTTGGTCTTTCTTTCTTTTATAATAAAACAGTATACATTTATTACTATACGTACATATCGAATAACAAATTAAAATATTACTCTCAATTAAAAAAAAATAATAATAATAATAACAAAAATAAAAAGAATAATAATTACCAACAGATTAAAAAATATCATTCGTTTTTTTTTTTATCGTTGATTTATTTTATCACATAATAATAATAATAATAATATATTCTTTTTTTTCAATTTGTTATATAGGAAAAAAAAAAAGAAACAGAAATAAAAAAAGAAAATGGGGAAAAACCCTACACATCGAAAAAATTAAACGACTGATAATTTTTAAACGTTATCAAACTATTGATTGCTTTGAAAAACATATCGTATTATAAACATAGTTATTTATAAAACTATTCTCTTGTTACAAACTAAAAAGCCGATAAATAATAGGTGATGGTAATAGATTAGTAATCTGCACTTTGGAAATATAATTAACTGAATTAATGAAATAATAATAGCATGAATTAGTTCGAATATTTAATCTTCTATCAAGGATATTAAATCATAAAGCAAACATGTAATATATCTTCTATATACAAGTTACTTCTCTTTCTCTCTCTCTCTCTACAATTTTCATTATTGCTTTTCTTTTTATAATATCGTGAGGAAAAGTACAAAAGACAGACCATGTAGAGATGGTTTGCTGTTGGATATTATAATAATAATAATAATAATAGTAATAATAATAATAATAATAATAATAATAATAATAATAATAATAATAATAATAATAATTAATAATCTATTTAATGTTATACATATTAGGCTGCATATGAAAAAGCCATTTGTAAAACATCATCACGTGAATGCTGAAGTTAAATCGAAAGGTTACTTATTTAAATGAGCGGAACTTTTGTACAATTTTATAGACATTATACCTTCATCATCATAATAATGTAAATTGTATGAAACGTATTATATATATATATATATTTATATATATATGCTATTATAAATTATGATAAAGTGCTGGAAATATTTTAGTTAGTTTATAAAGTGCTAAGGCACCAGAGGTAAATGCAAATGATAATATTCGTGATTAATATATATTTTCCTAATAGTACTATGGGAGCATTAAACTACAGACATTTCTTTTGTATCCTTTCTTTTCTTCTTCTTCTTCTTCTTTTATATATATAATTATATTTACTATGAAAAAGTAAGCACTTTTATACATACACTTCGGGATGATTTAAGATCATATTCGCTTTTTCTGTGTGTGCAAAATTAAATTTCTCGGGCCTTTTTTTTCCTTTTTTCTTTTCTTTGTTTTTTCCTTTTTTTTCTTCTTTTTTTTTTTAAAGTAGCATGTATATATATTAATAGTAAAGTAGCAATCTTTTATTTGCATGCAAAGCAAAGTTAAGATGCAAAGGACATCATGAGCAGCATTTTTTTTTACAGATAGATATATTCAAAGCTGGATAAAACATTGACATATCTTCTGTTTTTATGCTTACATCATTGTTTATTTTTTTGTTAACAAATATTAGTTTGTTTTTTATTGATATAGTGTCATCGCGATACCTCTTACTTATAGAAAAATAAAGACTTTTAACAAATTCGTCCCATAACTGCCATTAAAATTCTTGTTTTGGTTTCTTTTTACCGATTATTAAATACACTTAACACGACTTGAAATTTATTATTATTATTATTATTATTTTTATTGTTTAATATTAAAATCAAATGTGGTATATAAAAAATGATTACTATAGGATTGTGAGGTCATGCATAAAATGTTTCTTGCAGTGCCTTGAAAATATTCGAATACATTTGATTGAAATTTAAATCGCATTTTTATTTTTAAAATGTGGCAGTTAAAAGACAAACATACAAACGTAATTATACAATGTTTTACTTATACACACGGGTTTTTTGAAACTTGTGTTGGTTGATTTTTCATCATTGCACTCCGAATAACTTGTTTCTCATATTCTTAAACAAAAAGATTATTAATTATAAAATCTGTTTATTTAGTTTCTGTTATTGCATGGCAATATACAAAGTTCGAAATTCATTTCTTTCTCTTTTCGTTTCCTTTCTCTCTCGCGCTCTCTCCTTTTTAGTTTTTTTGCGTTTGACTATATTTATTATTAAATCATCTAGTAACCTTTCAAGATTAACAGCATATCACATGAAGCATTCTCGTTCGACATAAAACGTCAAGTTCGGTTTGTATGCTAGAAACATAGATCTTGTCTTTTCCACTGATGAAAAATACAAAACGAGTTAGAGATTCACTACACGTACGACTGTTATTTACAATGTGTTTTTATTAGCACGATTAAACAGATTTCACATAATCCTTGTCAAAACAGTGTAACCAAATGATTTTTTTTTACTCTCTTCGTTAATTTTGTTCTCGTTATTCATGCATATAAACCTTCACCCTTACACTAATTCTAAGACGGAATTTCTTTAGTTTTTTTATACTGCCATAACATATTATACTTTATTTTATTTTTTATTATTTTTTTGTTATTATTATTATGCTCCTCTCTTTCCCTCTCTTTCTCTCTCACTCTCTCTCTCTCTTCCTGTTTCTTTATTTTTCTTTTTTTTTCTTTCAATTATTATCCCATATAAGAATCACATAGTTCAATATG